CAGACGTGTGCTCTTCCGATCTATTTATTGCTATAGAAACGTTATCCGTCCGGTAAAGGATACGCTGTAGCGTCTCTGTAAGTACAAAAATATTTCCTGACCGTTATGTAGCGAAAAAATATACTTGGCGGGAGACGCTACCGCATCTCCTGATGCGTCAATCGCAAAAGACTCTGGATCCGGGATCGAGGAGACAAACGTATCACATTTTGCGTTTATATTAGGGTTAAATTCTCACTGGGAGACTTTAATGTTAGGTTCTGAAGTACTGGAAGAAATTCGAGGATATAGAATTTCTTTTTCATTTCCGCCCTTTCCCCCCGTACTTTCATTAGCGAGCCAGTGTTTTTTAAGTCGATTTTATTGTAAGGCTGAAATCAAGAGACTTGTTGAGAAAGAAGCCATTTACCCGATGCAATCTTTATCGGACCAATTCCTATCTCCCTTCTTTTTAACTGAGAAAGCGTCGGGAGGCATGTGTTTTATTCTAAATTTGAAGACTCTCAATGAATTCATTCTCAGAAATGACTTCTCTCGACTTAGACGACGCAGATAAAACCACACTGGCGAACGCGTCTATATCTAAAACTTGTCTGTTATAGAAATCCACAAAGACGCGAGATTCGCCAGATTAACCGGCCGCGTGCTTAATAAGATCCACAGACACTCCTTTTCGAAATGCAAGCGATGTCGACGCATGTGCTATGAACAGAAAAAATGTCACTAACTCCCGAAAGAGTGGCTTTTAGCCAACGATTAATCGTTTGGGAATCAACGGCAATATGCGGACTTTTGAGCGCTATAAAGAGAGAACCACAAGAAGGCGGGCGAAAATCTCAAGACCGTGACAAGAAATGAAAAAGAAGGGTCATAATGCATAAATTGTTATGCCCTTCAAAGCGGAGAAACGACAACAGGGGTTTGACACAGGGACAACAATGAGCCCGAACCCGGAGCTGAAGTTTTAATGCGGTCTGGAATACGAATGAGAACCCTCTCTGCAGTAAACGAAATTTGCGAGACGCGAATAGCTGCCAAAGTTTGACCTTGCTCTTTGGCGCTTCATTCGCCGAAGAGATCAAGAACGCGCAGGCCTGTGAGAGGGTTGCTAGAGGCCTTGTCAAATCTACCCCAGTAATCTCCAAGATCATCTTGCAGCAACCAGTGAGAAGTCAACCTAACGATGACAGCTTGTCCTTGACCTCGAACTTTGTTATTAATTGAGTGCGTAAATTCTCCTGCAGGTCCGTACGGAAGTGGCAAAATCAAGGATAGTCTGGTCCCACGCAAAACGATCTAGGGAATCCTGCGTGTGGAACAGCTGGCGGACAAGTGAAGGACCCTCATTATGTTCAGCATCAGGAGGCGCAAAGGTAACCTCATGATCTACAGGCTCTGATGCTACGGCTAAAAAGAGAGGGGAAGGGATAGCCATAAGATTTAGTGCCGCAGAGGAGCCGTCGGTTAAGCCCCCTTTTTGCCAATTTTCTGCGTTCGGTCAGCTCTCGCGGAGCGCGACACGCAGACCGCTATCACCGCGGAACTGGGAAAAAGGGTCGACAAGGGGGCTTACCTGGTTCAGAGCCCCGACTCTCGAGAGCCGTCGACTTCTCTTGTGGCTGAGATATGAGAAAACGCGTTCCTTAACCTCGCCTTCGAATAAGAGGGTGATACCCGATTGACCACCAGCCACTCACAACGCTTGAACAGTGGAAAATCTCTATGCATCGGCCGCTGTGAGTGGCTGTGGTCAATCGGGACGTGGTCAAACGGGACGCTCCCGAGTAAGATTATCTTTTGGACCTGAGACTTGATCGCCGCCAAGATTTGCTCTAGAAGACTTGAAGCATGGAGAAAGCTCTTGACGAACCTCGTGGTGGTCGATCTTCGAAAGAGGATCAGCTAACCTCTCGAGAACGAGAACAAGAACGCAACCTATCGTGATCTCTCCTGTATACATGGGAACGTTTCTTGTGACGTCGATGATCCTTTGATCTTGAGCGACTTCGGCGATGTAAACCTAACATTTCAAACCCAAGAAATAAAAAAAAATCTGAAGATTCTCTTGGAGGGACACTCAAAGAATCCGTTAGCTAACGCGAACAGAAACACAATGAAGATGCCTACGTCTGCGTGCGCCGGAGTCGAAAGGCGCACTGCTAAAACAAAAACAAAAAAAAGATTTGTTCTTTTAAGTGGAATTTTTTGAACTCTGTTGACTAAACGTGCTCAGGCGCACTA